TGGGAGAGGTTCCTTCTCCTGGTAGAGTGGGCAGGTCATGCTGTGCATGGTGCTGTACGTTGGGGCTTTGCTGCTGGGTCTCTGCTGCCCAGGTCTAGTTGGAAAAGCACAGCCTGGTTGTGACATCCCAGCAAAGCAAAAACCTTTGGATGAGGCTTTGAGCAACCTGGTCTAGTGGAAGGTGTCCCTGCTGCTGGCAGGGGGGTTGGGACTGGATGAGCTTTAAGGTCCCTTCCAACCCAGACCAGTCTGGGATTCTATGATTCTATAAGAACCATGAGGGACACCCATGTGCTTGGCAGGCACAGGAGGGACTTTTATCAGCCCCTGGGTTTGGAGATAGGAGCTGTGATGAGTGAGGCACAAACAAGACCCATGGGGCACAAACTCCAGTGGGTTTGCAGTGACAGTGGCCAAATTACCCCTCAGCATTGCCCACAGGCTCCTTGGCACCCTCAAACAGACGTAGACCTGCTCCAGAGAAGCTCAGTCTCCCCTTGGAGTCCTCTTGTGCTTGTAGGACACAGTGGCATGGGATGTAGGGAGACCAGATGGTCTCACAGGGCGGGTCCCATGTCCCCATGTCCTTTCCCCTGGGCCATGTGGGCTCTCCAGCCTGCAGAGGTGGTGGAACTGTGCCCTGTGGGCAGAGCAGAGTTGCTGCCAGGCAGCTGCGCCCTTCCCCAGCTCATTCCTATTCATCAGAGCTTGGGTTTCACCTCTGTCCTTTCCCCTGATGCAGGAGGACAGGGACAGTAGTTCACACCACCTCCTCCTCCAGCCCATCACCTGCATGGGTACCATGATGCTCAACTTGAATTACGCCAGCCCTGGAACGAGCTGTTCCAGTAAGAGCAAAAACACAGCAGTGAGGCTGTGCCATGGTCCTCGGGGACGTCAGCAGGTCCCAGGGGTGGCTCCTCCTCCAGCCACACGTTGATGCAGAAACCTCCTTCACCCACCTCTGTCTTCTCCCCATGACACTGAACTGCACCCGTGTGGCTGCTGGGGCAGGTTTGGCCCCACAGAGCCTGGCAGGGGACAGCTCAGGGTCCTGCACACCCTCTGAGGCCACCTTCCTCCTTGGTAGGAGCTGCAGCAGCATCTCCTGTAGCTCCTAGAGTCAGGGCTCAGCGCTGTGAGGCACCCAGAGCTGCAGGGGACTTGCCCACAAGCAAGAGCAGAAACTCTGGGGTCTGGGCTGGGTTGTAGGTGCCAGGAGGAAGCACACCAAGGGGCATCACTAGGTCTCCTAAGGTCCCTTCCAGTCCCTATAGTTCTCTGTGTATGTGTCTTGTGCAGGATGGGACCACCAACTCCTGCTGAGGATGGCAGGTCCACCCAAGGCCATGCACAGGGGCTCCTCAGATCTGTCCTGGAGCAAAGGGAGGGGGCATTTACCCCTCCCAAGGGCAGGGAAAACATTTTTCCTTCTAACACACAGAATCCCAGACTGGT